ACACTAGTCAACATGTACTTCTCAAGAGCAACCATCGTCTCCGCCATCTTCGGCCTCGCGTGCGCACAGGAGTCTTCCATGTCCATGTCCATGGGCTCTGCCACTGAGCCAACCCTCTCCTCAGCGGTACTCGGTAGCGTCTCGACTTCCACACCGGCCGCCATGGCAGGAATGGTCATGACGCACGTAGTCCAAGTCGGAGGACCCAACGGAAGCCTGACCTTCTCTCCCTCCAACATCAAGGCCCAGCCCGGAGATCTTGTCCAGTTCCAATTCCACCCCAAGGTACGTGCTATCACACTCCCTACTTCTATCTCTCCAACTAACAATACCCCAACAGAACCACTCCGTCGTCCAATCCACCTTCGACAACCCATGCACTCCCATCCAAAACATCATGAGCAACAAGACCGACGCCTTCTTCTCCGGCTTCATGCCCACCAACGCCTCCCTGACCGCCACAAGCCAAGTCCTCACATACACCATCCGCGTCGCAGACGAGAAGCCCGTCTGGTTCTACTGCTCCCAGGGAAAGCATTGCCAGGCTGGTATGGTCGGTGCCATCAACGCGTAAGCCACTGCCCCTTCTACCATCCGCATGCACCCACTAACATGCCACCCAATAGTCCCGCATCCGGCAACAAGACAATGGAAGCCTTCGTCGCCCTCGCCGCTCAGGCTACTGAGAACCTCTCCCCCGGACAGGCTGCTGGCTCTGGTGGCGCATCTGGAAACACACCCACCTCCCCCTCTGCCGGCGGCGGCGCCAACTCTGGCACTGATGGCACCTCTGGTGGCGCTGCTGGTGGCGATGCTAGCGGTACTGCCAGCGGTGCTCCTGCCCAGCAGACTGCCAACACTGCGGCCGCTGGTTTCAGCGCCCAGACCTTCATCGGCGCTGCGGCGGCTGCTGTTGTTGCTGCTGTCGCTGCCTTGTAAGGTGGATGGTTTGAAACTTCTTTTTCTGGTGTGATTACGGGGGGTTCATCTATCGTGAAGATGGACGGTTAGAGGTTGGAGGTTGTATGCAAGAATGGCATTATTTTAGTTTATGTGATACCACGTTTATATGCATGGCTTGCAATTGATCTAGAGCTGGTTTTTCACTCTTGGGTCTGCGGTCATTGGCGCTTTTTGCTTTGAGAAATTGGTAGAAAATAATTGAGACGAATATTGATTGCTCGTATAAACTTTCTTCGGACTATTTGGTGAATGAGCATGTCCGAATTGGCCTTGTTATCTTCAGGCTCTGTGTATCACCTGATAAACAATCTTACTTTGCGAGTTCAAGCTTTCTAACTTCTACGATGAGACTCGAAGAGACCTAAGATGGCTAGCATGTACCCTCTTATCAATCAACGTCAGCGGGGAACACGTGCGTAGAACAGTGGATGCACATAGGTCAAGCGGTGGAGATATGCGGGTAGGGGAAACGTGCAACACGTGTTGACTCACAACACCGTGCACAAAAGAGCCCGGGTAGGTTACTCCAAGGAGTATGTGCGACGCCCGGTCGAGACCGACCTGAAAGCATCGTGAGGATTGGCTCTGGTGTTGCTGCCGCGGCGGATCTCGCGTTCATGCGCCATGATGTCATGCTACCGAGCTAAGAGTTTTCACCTGCACCTGCATCCGTCGCCCGCAGAGCCTCTTCCCATCTATACCCCAATCGGACGACTACGGCATGATGATCAATTGCCAGACCGCATTCTTACATGCCGCGGCTGGAGCCGATAAAGGCTCTTTCTTGCTGCCTGCCTAAGGTGCCACTGACTTACTCAGACGCGACAGTCTGAAAGATTTCGTCAACGTCGCAACGCGATCAGAGCGAGGCAACTCTCTTACGAGCGTACCTGTATTTGTAACGGACACAAGGAAGCCAAATAAGTCAAGCATTATCGGGTGACCGCCTTAGCTGCTTGAGAACTTGTGGGTTTTTGACCCACTTGGCCCATTCTTTGCTTGAGCCGCATGCAGATCTACGGACGTTTGGCCTGTCGGGAGGTGAGCGCACGTCGGCAAGAAGTGGATTAAGCACATAACGACTAGTTTTTCGCTGCATGGACGAAGCTTACCGTCACATAGTTGGGTCCACAAGACATAACCGCCAAAGAGCACCCCGACATGGCCAGGCTAGGCCCACCCCGAGACACACTTCATCGCCCAGGTTGTCGATGTCGTCGATGGCATCTATCACCCCGATCTCAACGTCAAATTTTAGGCCGATTTTGTACGAAATGGGTTCGCAACAATGGATCCCATTGTGACAGGCCCCTCTCTGAGTGGAGAGTCGTTCTTCGCAACGGGCTTTCTCCTCAGACGTCATTCTGGAGGTGGATGCCAAATGTGGACTTTTGTTGGGTTCAAGAGGGCCTTAATACCCCAACCCGCACCCCGACTCTCATCTCCAGCTTCTTCGTCCAGCCCACCCTACGATGACGGAACGCGAGTCCAGGCACCCTTCGCCCGCCCGAGCTGGGTCAGGCCCAATTTCTGAGAAAGATGATACCTCGCGACGCCCAAGCATCCCAGCCGAGACTAGCGAGGAGGAGAAGTGGCATGTCGATGTCCCTGTCGACCCTCAAGGAAACCACCACCCGTCGATGATCCGTGCAGACGGGAAGCGCGAGCTGAGAGAATGGGAGTGCTGGGATAAGCTCGCATACTCATGGCCCAAGTGGAAGAAGGCCATGTACCTGGCTTCCATTGCTGGAATCCAAATCTCCATGAACTTCAACACGTCGGTCTATCCTAGCGCCGTCAACCCCATCTCCGAGCACTTCGGAATTAGCGCACAGGCAGCGCGCGTTGGACAGATGATCTATTTGGTCTTCTACTCCTTTGGCTGCGAGCTATGGGCGCCATGGAGTGAGGAGTTTGGTAGATGGCCGATTCTGCAGCTCAGCATGTTCCTTATCAACATCTGGGAAATTCCATGCTCTGTTGCACCGAACTTCGCCACCATTATAGTCTGCAGAGCTCTTGTAAGTCTCCTCCGTACTTGGTACTTCCAACGCTGATAAGTATTAGGGTGGTCTCTCCACAGCAGGAGGTAGTGTGACTCTTGGTCTTATCGCGGATATGTACGAACCAGAGACGCAGCACTGGCCGCTGTGCTTTATCGTCTTGTCGTCTACGATCGGAACCTCTATTGGTGGTGTCATCGGTGGCCCTATCGAAAAATACCTTTCCTGGCAATGGAACTTTTGGATCCAGTTGATCTTCGGTGTTGCTGTGCAAGCAGTACACTTCTTCATGCCCGAGAGCCGAGCTACCATTCTCATCGATCGAGAGGCCAAGAGACGTCGCAAGACCGGCGAGGATCCCAACATCTACGGACCGAATGAACTTAAATCGCCCCGAATTTCGCTCAAGGAAGCCGGGAAGATCTGGCTCCGTCCGTTTGAGATGTTTGTTCGGGAACCAATCGTCTTGTGCCTGTCGCTACTCTCTGGTTTCTCCGACGCTCTGATCTTCACGTTCCTGGAAGCATTCAACGTCACATTCCCGAACAACTTCGGTTTCGGCACGCTTCAAGTCGCTTGGGCTTTCATTCCCATCAACGCCGCTTACTTCTTCACCTACTTCTTGTACTGGCCTTGGTTCTGGCGCGATGATCACCTGCGCAAGAAGAACGGCCCCGACTGGATGACACCAGAGCGACGATTGAAGCCGCTTCTTCTGCTTGCGCTCTTCGAGCCTATCGGGCTCTTCGGATTTGCCTGGACTTGTAAGTTGACTCCCGGATACCATCAATTGAACTTCAGCTAATGGTAACATAGGTATGGGACCACCACAAACCCATTGGATCGCGCCGATGATATTCTCCTTCCTCGTAGGACTGGCAAACTTCGCCATCTACTACTCCTCCGTCGATTACATGATCGCCGCCTACGGACCATACTCGGCTTCGGCCACCGGAGGAAACGCGTTCGCTCGTGATTTCCTCGCCGGTATCTCCGCCATGTACGCCACGCCCATGTACAACAACCTTGCATCGTCAAGCCCCCAGAAGTCCGAGTACGCCACTACCTTACTGGCATGCCTGTCTTGTTTGGTCGTGGCACCAATCTACGTCTTCTACTGGAAAGGACCACAGATCAGAAAGGCTAGTAAATTCGCTTCCCTTCTTGCGGAAGACAGGAAGGCGGAGGGCGTCAGGCGACTCAGTAAGGCTGATAACCTTGAGAACCTTACCGCGTAAGCTTCCAGTCACGAAGTCCATGATACCCCAATCATCCTTCATGACGGGTTCGGACGCGTCATTGAAGGTATTGATCTTTTCACGCAATATACCCGAGTCTTGGAACATTCATAAGTTGGCCACGACTCTGTTTATGTTCTGAACATCACTTCATGAGCATAATCTGGATACCCTTGTCGTATCATAGCTATGCGATCACGACGTCGCGGCAGAATGATGTACAATGGGCTGGCTCTCAGTTTGTAGCGGGGTCAAGACTCACATTTTAGGGGGATCACGAAACGTCAGACAGCCTCCGGTAGAAGATGATCAATATAACGACATAATTACAGCCACCAAGTGCGCATTTGACTTTCACTGCATTCGATATGCTGTGTCTTTACTTCGCGCCACGAGTCCTATTGATCCATGAAATCGACCACTCTGACCGAATCGAACCGCTCAACATCAGATGTCCACTCGCTCTATACTCACAATGTCAGCGTGGCATGACTCATCTTGGCCATCCGCGTTCTTGCACTAAGAGTAAATCGGAGATGTTCGCAGACATCGCTAGAAGCAATGCCCTGTATAAAACAGTGACCTGAACTATTCCCGAATGGTCCCAAAGCAAACATTACCGTGAAAGTCTGAAAGCTTAGTGAACTGGGAAGCTAAGATATATTGGAAAGACACTGAGCTACCGATTCAAGACTTACGGTGTCATCGAATACTCAACGACAATTTCGAAATCTATCACACATACATATTTACGAACATGACTTTCGGCGCAACTCAGATCTTGTCAATCTTAAAGATGCGTAATAACAAGCCAACCAAACGACCAACCGAAACCCCCATCACCACCACACCTTCCGAAAAACCCGAAGTCCCGGAAACCCAACAGAACTTCGTACGTGTCTACCCTTCATCAGCGCCACCTCGGTATGCTAACCGTCCTGCCGGCTCCTCCAGGTTCCGGGAAAGGCTGAGCTTGGATATGACGAATCCGGAGATATCTGCCGAGCAACCGCGATGCTTGATGGAAAGTATGGCTATGGTGCCTGAGACGACTGTGGAGGAGCATAGGCGAGATGATCGTCAGGCTTGTGTACCCCAGGTCAAGGAAGTCGTCTCCAGTGTCTCCAATCTCATCAGGAATGCTGTGGAGGTTGTTAGGCAGCGTTCACGGTCGCCTTCGCCTTCGCCATCATCGATTGGGGACTCTATTAGCGACGACGAGCCTTTTTCTGTACTTGCCAAACTGGTTGGGATCGACAAGCGGTCGATGCCGCGGCCGCCTCCTCCGGCTGCGGTATATCTTCAACGTTCCAACGCTGTCAGGTACCGGAATCGTCCACGGCTGCAGTCGCGGGATCAGCAAGATGATATGCTTGGTTATCACCCTGGTGGTGAGGCAGACGCCTATTTCTTACGAGATGTTGATGTCGGATACGGGGGACCTGGACACCAATCACATTCGGTACCCCCGGACTTTGCTAATACCAACTCACAGCAATGGGAAGGTGCGAACGTCAAAGGTGCGACCTACTCCCATGTTGAATGCTACGAGCTCCCTCAGGTAGGCAGCCCGCAGTATCGTTCGTACGCCGACATGGTAGAGGATGGATCCTGTCCGCGTCTGCGTGTCATGAATCGTACTACCTCAGATTCTTCTCCACAGTCGGTATCATCAAGCTACGGCTCTTTCACCGTAGAGGACACGAACTTCCGCGCACAACTCGCAGCTTCAGCGTCACTGTGCTACCGGACTGATATTGATATTCCAGATGACGCCTCAGTTTTGTCGTCATCGTCATGGCCAGACTACCCGGAATATCACGTCGATAGACAAGATGATGTTTCAGACCGCATGTCAGAAGCATTCCTAGCAGCTCGCCGTTTCTTCCTGGATGAATGGTCAGTCGAAGAGGCTGTTCCGGCGAAATCTCGTTTTTCGCTTTACTCGTCCGAGGATGGTGAGTTTGGGGATTGTGGGAATGAGCGGAAATGTGTTGGCATTGGTGGATTAGATGAAGTTTCAGACGATGCAGCAGAGGCAGTACCAGCTGTTAGACGATTTTCTCTTGATGAGGGGTCGTTTGAAGACGCAGGTTCAGCTGAGTCCCGTTTTCCCTCGTCCGCGGTCTCGAACGGTGGTTCCGGAGACCTTGGGGTTGAGCGTTGGTGGGCTACCAACACGCAACCCGTCGATGACAACAGCTCGGCAGACGCTGATGACGAAGGAGATGAAGAAAACAATTCGTCTTTTCCGTACTACGTACGTCAGGGGCCACTGAGGGTCCGTAACGCGTCAGTATCGCATTCATCAGAAGGCTCTGTCCCGGAAAGCGCTTCGACCGACTGGTATTACACACAAGACAGCGCTGAAACTTCAGAGGCTACCCTTGCAGATGACGACATGGCTTTCTACGAAGGGCTCTACGAAGAACACAATCCAGACAACCACAGCGGATCGATCGATCAATCGCAGTTCGCGGATTTCGACGGGGATTTTACGGACGCTCCTTCGCTTACCAACGGTACCTCGCCGGAGAACACCTCCAGAGGCGAGTCTGGTAGCGGACGAGTCTTGAGGGTCGTCAACCAGACCTCCCCTCAAGATGGCGCCGGGACCGAGAACGATGACTGCCCGAGTGAGAGCGAATCCGATAACGAAGTTCCACGACGTGGTCGAAGTAGAACAAGAAGGGCACAGTAAGTAGTGCCTGTCTGCGAACGGTCTTGCATTCGCGTCTAGACTGAAGCATCGTGAACCACACGTGAGAAGGGGACTGTAGGATGAGGTAGGAAGAATGCCACCAGAAAAACTTCAGGGAAGTAAATAGGAGACTGAATCCAGAGATACGCAACCCTTTGACGAGTCAATGACTATTAATTTTGGTATGAAGTTTTGGCGGTGAGGAAGAATACCGTGGGTAGATCGACAGAGGGTCTGAACATTCTGCTATGAACAGTGCGGAGACGCAGAGGTGTTGAGGGAAACATTGCGTTCGGAGATTTTGGAGAGTAAGATTGGATGAGCGATTAGAGCAGAGGCCGGTTTAATGAAAGAATGCTTACTATGTCTTTGGTGTATTTGCGTCCATGTTTTTGGTGATGTACACAGCGCGTGCACGCTGAAGCTTCAAGGTGCACTGCAGCTGGCTCGCGTCCCCCCTTGCCGACAATGCAGATGAGACGCGATATCTGTCACCTCTAAATGAACTAGTTCATTATGCGAGCGCTTCTAGTCTCGAACGCTTCCTATTTTCATCCTGAAACGCGTTCCTGAAATGTCAGGCAAATGTCGCGTCGCGGGTCAGAGTTTCGGAACTGTGGCGGTGCGATGGTCCTTCCTCTTCGGAACTTTGGAAGCACTGATATTGGCTGCAAACCTTGTTGAGAAATGCGAGAACTCGATAGAATCTGCTCTGCAGAAGACTCCTTCGATGTGAGGATGTTGGTCAGTATTCGTCCGCGATACTCGATAAAACCCAACGGCATGCCGATGTCATAATGTCTGCCTTGCCGGCCCGGCAGCGGCGTAGCCAGGAATGGCGCCTCAGCGCTAAACCCACTCGTCCCCGCTATAGCCACAATCGTCACAGCGCATGGATGTCGAAGCTACCCCCCAGCCATCCGATGGGGGCAGCTATGGACTACTGCGCCGCTGCTGCAGAAGGCCTTGGACGCCTGTCGCAGCTGCCTTGTGCTCTCCAGCTTGATATGTGCCTGTGACTACGCGACTGCTAACCTCCTGTGCTGTGTAACGTGCCGCAGCCTCTACTGATCGCGCTCAACAGCATCTTGGTGACATAGCTTACAGCAGCTTCTTTGGCAGTGCTTGAGGGAATTGGACGCTCTTTTGGCAGTGTTGGAGGTTTATTTGAGAGAGAACGCATCGTATCCTGCTTTGGAAGCTCATCATGGAGGTGTGCATTCAACTCATCCTCCCTTTTGGAGTCACGTCAGCTAACCATTGCGCAGAACACTACTACTACACCATATCGCGACTCTCCGGCACGGGATCAAATAACATCGTCTACCCACGAAACATCACCCAGCTCCTCAGACTCATCCGCGACCATAAAACCGCTGTCCGCAACGCCTCCTCCCTACGCAGACGAAGAGCCCTACCGCGACGACCCTCCAACACCAACAGAAGCATCACCATCGACGCGTCAAACCACTTCACCGACCCACCGACGACAGTCACGACACAGCCCACCCTACCAACCATACACAGACTCACCACCCCACATCCCAGACGCCGACGACGTGCCCCTCGCTCACCTCGTCTCCCACGCGTACACGCAGTCGACGGAATTACATCACCAATCCAACGATGCTTTCTATCCAGCCGACGCACCACCACCATACGCAATCGCAGTCCGTCAGTCTTATCGCGACACGCTTGTGCAGTACGTACCGCGCGGCCAGCTCGGGGGTCGCGAGGAAGACGAGGAGAGTCAGATTGGTGTGGATGTGGTCAGGCCGGATGATGTGAGGTACTCGGTTGAGAATATTGTTGCGATGTTCGTGGTTGCGATAATGTTGTTGGTTGTGTCGGGGGTGTTGGCTTGGCTGGCGTTTGGGAGTGGGCTGGTGGGATGATCGCGGATACAGCATTGGGGGTTATGGTACACAGGCGAGCATTCTACACGACTTTTGGATAGGGCGGTGGGATACTTGTTGGCGTTTTACGTTGGATACACTGGAACATGGTACATCGGACACATTGGATACACTGGGTACACTGGGTACATTGGCACGTTGGATGGTCGCATCTTGAAATCATTCTAGCACATACTACGCATAGCATCAAGACATTGGCATTGGAAATTTTGATCGAGTCTCAAACATACGCATGCAAGTCCAAGATGTACTGGTTAACGTGCTGCACAATTCGACGCTAGCATACCGTGACCGAACAGGGCCGGTTCCAAGTTTAGACACCAGCCTTACGGACCCTGGTGTGGAGAGTTTAGTGGGTCCGTAGCATGGCATCGATGGGCATCGGAACAAAGAAACGCGAAGATAGGACGGAGTCGCAAACTGCACTGGAATGTCAAGCTTGTACCTTTGCAATTCGAACCCATTGCTCGCATAGGGCAAGGCATCCGCAACGTGCAACCTCAGGCATCTAGAGTGCTGAGGTGAGCAGTGTGCAGCGGACCCACCCAGCTCGGGCTTGTAAGACGGATGCATCGTTGACGGATTGGTTAGGCCGCCATAGTCAACTGCTTGAGGAAACTATCTCATCCTCTTGAGAGTCGGCCCTGCTCAGCACGTGGTGTTCGGCCGGGAATAGTCGTTGCATGTCGCTGGGGTACCGCTGGGAACTGGACTGAACAGACGTGTTTGACAGCGGCTCGACGTGGCTGGTCGTGAGCGATGGCCTTAGTATGTGGCGTAGGATGCCCAGGATGCTGACCGGCGGAGAGTGACCCGCTCTTTGTGTACAATTCACCCCGCCGCGTCAATTTCGCCAGCAAGCGCCGTGGCCAGGGACTTGAACTGTTGGGTGTGCGCGCGCTGCATCTGCCGTGTCAAGCTCGAGGATACTTTGCCTGTCCTCCAGCTGCCCCAGCCAATTCCGGGACTGCGCCGCACCGCGTTGGCGGGCTTTCCTTCACACAGCCTTGCAGCTTGCGCCGTTTGGACCGCGCCCAGCTTGCTGTCAGCCGCAGCACCGCTCCCAGATATCCTGCACCGCACCCCTCCCGCCTGACCAGCCCTCCTCCCTCCTCTCTCATGAGTTCCATGAACGCCCGTTTCAAGAACCTAGTGGGTTCGAAACGCAAGAGTTCCTCACACAATCCCTCGCCCACGCCCCAAGGCAATCCCGCCCCCACGGGAGCGCAACGACCGACGTCGCTATCGCCCCAGGCTTCGAATTCGAGCAGCACCTCGCTCCCCATGAACCAGCAAAACCCCCTGGGCCGCCCGCCCTCGTACACGTATGCCCCGCCCGGCGGCCTCGGTGCGCCGCAACAACAGCACGGCCGGCCCGCGAGCCCTCTGCCGCCCATCAACACGGGCGCGCCTGGCTACCCGCCCCAGCAGACCCCCATGGGCTACCCGCCGCAGGCTGGCCCGCCTGGCTATCCTCCCCAGGGCCCGCCGGGAGCTGGACAGTACGGCCAGGGCTACGGCGCTCCTCCACCGGGAGCTCCTGCCCCTCATGGTCCCCCCGCAACGTACAATAGGCCCTCGGGCATGGCAGAAGTAGCGGGCGAAGGTCGCTCCAAGGCCCAGCTCATTGTGGGCATCGACTTTGTGAGTAGCCTCAGACACCCCCGGACGCAGCAGCAGCTAACCATGCCACACAGGGCACCACCTTCTCCGGCGTCGCATTCGCCTTTGCGACCAACACCGAGGCCAAGGAAGACATCATCACCGAATGGCCGGGCGCGGGCAACCAGACAAAGCAGAAGGTGCGCTAGATTGACCCCTCCACATGCACCCGCTAACCCTTCCCAGATTCCCACCGTCCTCTACTACGACCAGTACCAGAAGGTAGTCGGATGGGGCCCTGACATCGCCGATGCTCTGGCCCCCACGGGCTACCCCAAGCCTGGTGTGCAAAAGGTCGAATGGTTCAAGCTGCAGCTCATGCTGTCCGGAAACACATACATCGACCCCATCAACCTCCCGCCGCTACCCCCGGGCAAGTCTGAGATCGATGTCGCCGCCGACTACCTCTTCCACCTGCGCCAGGCGATGCGGAACCAGCTGCAGAAGACACTTGGTGAGGTGTTCAACCGCGAGGAGCGCAACATCAGATACTACCTGACAGTGCCCGCCATCTGGAACGACGCTGGAAAGGCTGCAACGCGTGCGGCTGCCATTCAGGCTGGTTTCTTGCGGGACGAAAACGACAACCGACTGACCCTCATCACCGAACCCGAAGCCGCCGCCATGTTCTGCTCAAAGACCGGTCTGCTCAACCTCAAGATACACGACGCCGTCCTCATTGTCGATTGCGGTGGTGGCACTGTCGATTTGATCGCCTACGAAGTCGAAGAAGAGCAGCCCTTCTCCGTCGCCGAGTGCACAGCTGGATCCGGAGACTCATGTGGTTCCACTGCGCTCAACCGCAACTTCAGCAACATCCTGCGAGCCAAGATCAGGAAGATGAAACTCCCAGATGGCTCCAAGACAGCCGGTAAAGTGTACGCCAAATGCATCATGGACTTCGAGAACAGGATAAAAGCCGACTTCCGAAACAATGGTCAAAAATGGGCTGTCGACGTCGGTATCGAGGCTGAATTCCCCGAGGCTGGCATTGAGGAGGGGTACATGACCTTCACCAATGAGGAGATTCTACAGTGCTTTGAGCCTGTGGTGAACCGCATTCTCGAGCTTGTCAGGAACCAGATAATTGCTATTCAGGCACAGAACAGGTCATTGCAGGTAAGCAGTCACAGATGTCGAAACACGTCACTTGCAGTGCTGATAATAGTAGAATGTCTTGGTGGTCGGTGGTTTCGGTGCCTCCGAATATCTCTTCCAACAAATCAAACTCCACGTCCCGCCCCAATTTCAGTCAAAGGTCGTCCGTCCCATGGACTCCGTCGCCGCCATCGTCAAGGGAGCCGTCACAGCCGGTATCACAGAGCGAATTGTCACACACCGTGTTGCGCGTAGGCATTACCTCATGGCCACTCTCCAGCCATTCAAAGAGGGCCACCACCCCGAACAATACCGTGTCCCGTCTCTCGACGGCAAAGATCGCTGCAAGTACACACGCCAGATTTTCGTGCAAAAGGGCCAAAGAGTCAAGATTGGCGAGCCAGTCAAGGTCTCGTTCTTCAGACAAGTCGCGCCTGGTGCGACGCTCATGTATGAGGATATACTCTACGCATGCGACGACGATGTTTGCCCAGAGTACACCAAAGACCCTCGTAAGTGAAAGACATACCTGAACGAAATGTATGCACTAACAGCGAATCAGGCATCAAGGAAGTCGTCACCCTCACCTCCGACCTCTCACGAAAGAACCTCGAAAAAGACTTTGAACGCATGGATACCCCTCAAGGTACTTTCTACCGCGTCTACTTTGACATCTACCTCACGCTCGACGGATCCGAATTCAATGCCGAGCTCGTCTGCCAGGGCGAGGTCATGGGCCGCTGCACTGCTCGCTTCAGATAAACAGGGGCAATCGCATCTTGATAATTACCGAGCAAACTACGCACGACTGTTTTTCGAAAAAGTTGTTAATCTGCGGGAGAGCAAACATACTTTTGGACATTTTACTACCGGGATACTAGGCACGATGTATGGGTAGACGAGGACCATGATTGCGACTGTCTCTTCTGCGCGCGCGTCCTCTTTTATCTTGTTTTGTGGGCCATTTTTCTTCTTCCTGACGATCTGGTCCAAGGCGATTGATGATGTTATATAAGCATACCCCGATTCAAACGTTTGAAATAGCAAAATCTTTATCATTGTTTCAATTGGTGTTGCTTAGTGTTCTGATCGTTCGTTGTTCAGGTATCGCTCACGCTTACGTTCGTCGAAGGAACGAGCCTGTCGACATGTGGAGGGCCTCTTAATCATAGTGATGGCAACAACACAGCTAAGAGAGAGAAGAGATCCTGCCGTACGTTGAGCAGAGATGCATACAAGCACAAACCCTATCGTACACAAACCGCCATGCACACCACCTCATCAATCCTCCAAATCAAACGGCCAAGTATCTCTAATCTCCGCCTCCGTCAACCTCTCCCCATCCTCACTAACCCACACCCTCTCCCCGCGTTCCCCCACCGCCCCCTTCATCGCCTCCTCAAACCACTCCTTCTGCGCCTTATTCGTCACGTCATACATATCCGCCCACACCCACCCCCCACTCTCTACACCCAACACTTTCTGCACTTCCAACTTAAACGTATGCCTTGCCTCGAACTCTTTATACTTTTCCCAATGCGCAGCATATTCTTCCCGGCTAGGCATGGGATACGCACACGGTCCTACCGTCGAGAAACCTAATTCCCCCCATCGCCGCGACGTTTGGATGAGTTCCTCGCGGAAGGGGGTGGCACCGTGGAGCCAGGATCTGTGGCCGTAGGTGAAGGGGCGGAGGTAGGCTTCGTCCATTGTACGGGGGATAAGCATTGCGCGGGGGAGATGGGATTGGATTAGGTGGGTGAAGGCTTCTGCGCGGAGGGTGCTGGCGGGCGTGTGTGTGGGTTGTTTTTGTTCTCGTTCTTGTCCTTGTCCTCGATCTCCTGCTCCCCCTTGTTCATCATCCTCAGCAGCAACTTCTACAACTTCTTTCTGTGCAAAGTCAGGTGTGGAGTCCGCATACCAGAACGCTGGCTGTATAGCTGAGGCCTGCCAGTCTAGTATCGCCGTAAGAACCGTTGGATCCTCATCCGAGACGAATATGTTCCGAGAATGCAGATCTGGGTGGAATAAGATGGGCGTCGACACCGTTTGCATGAGCGTAGTTTGGATCATCTGTTTTGTTATCGCGCGGCAGTATTCGAGTAGGACTTTGTGTTCTGAGATGGTGCCGTGGTAGGACGGGAGGCGGAGGGTCGAGGCTATGATGGCGGGTGGGAGGCGGGAGAGGCCTACGTCGGTGAGGGCGGAGGTGAAGGTGGATAGGGATGGCCCTGGGGTGAAGATGAGGATGTTGCGCTAGTAGTGGGATGATGGGGGTTGGCTTACATGGTCCTCGGTTGGGCTTGACTTCGTGATAATACTTCGGTGAGGTGGGTTTAATGTCCCAGTACAAGTCTTCGCAACTAGGTCCGATGCAGAAGTTTGAGTCCAGCGGGATTGTGGAACCCTCGATGTACGGTGTGTCAGTTCGATAGATACTACCATACGCAGGGAATGCGAGGTTGGCGGCTTCTTTCATTTTCTGGTAGATAGGTTTCATGCACAATGTTCGCTGAACCTCTGTCATCTCGTGCCATTTTGAAGCCAAGCAGACGCCCGGTGCATGTTCCATGATGATGTACTCGCTTCCAATGGTGTTGGAAGCGTCGTCGCTCCAGTCCAGGATCTTGGGAATAGGGATACTGGTCTTGCTTTGCACTAACAGAATGTCAAGTCAGTCACCTCCTTTTCCACACTTCTCGTCTTCCAATCCCTGAGTTTAAAACGTACAGTACTCCACAGTAGCAACCTCCGAACCCGTCGTATACCTCGGAGGGCCCGCCACAGAAAACGGCAGTTTCGCAACAAGACGTACCCCATTGTCAGTGTGGAAAATGAAGACGCGATTGCTGCCGCCTTCAATCTTCTCACAAGAGGTGATGGAATGAGCACCGGGGCATAGTGCTACAATCTTGCGACACAAAGCGTCAAAGTCGAATTGTATGAACCGTGCCTTTCGCTCGATTGCATCGTTACGGAGCCAGCGCCCTTTAGTGTAGTTGTAGGGGTCGAAATCTGTGTTTGGGTTAGCATTGTGAAAGATAGAATTGGCAGGGATGGTGGAAATGGCGTACCTTCACCGAAAGAATGCTTTGAATGCGTTGATGTGGAAAATGCTACTCGAAACAGCGGTGTTTGTCCAGGCCTTGTACTTGGGACTGTATAGACGGGAGCTCCTTGCCAACTTACAAGCCCTCTGCTGATGAATAAGCGTTTGTTATGCGTTCGAACAGTACACAAGGCAAGAGTGGTGAGCGGCCGTCTTGAGATATGGTACATAGCAACGTCTCGAACAACGATAGGTAAATAGATGTATAATCAAACTGTGATCAAGAGAGCGAAAGCGCAACCGTATTGAGCGGAGCTGTTCACAGGCACCCAAAATGCTTGCAACTGTGCCGCAGTCGAACATACGAGGCTGAGCATATCGGCGCTACTCCGGAACGCTTGCTATTGGCGCGTCTGGCGCGTAGATCTGTATACGCATTGGAAGTAGCCTTGTAGGCGTGATTAGATCTTCTTGCATCAAGGCTACCGATAGAGATGTTTTGAATCGCTGAGTAGCATCGTGAAGAACACAAATTCGAAAGCCGGTTGATGGTATCTTCTGTAGATATTATTCTTGGGGATCATTTAGCTACTTCACCCTAGTGAACGTGATACCTCTCGCACGGACCCATTCCGATCGAAGGTACCAAATCGTTCATCTCTCATCGATGAAAGTTTTACCCCAGCCCTTGGGGATATAATGCAAATAATGTGTCACAAGTTTCTGTCCTCTTCACTTGACATCCCTCCGTTTAACGCCAACGCTGATAATGCAAATAAAGGTAGAGCCTAAGCTCTTACACCCGGACCAGGTACAGCAGGCGCCGCCTTGTTGACCTCAGGCTTAGTATCCTTTTCTGTGTTCTTGAGACGCGCCAAGATGACTGTGAGCGTCTTCTTCTCTCTTCCATCGTTATCTAGCACATGAATCAGATCACGGAGCTGGATACCGGCGCCTGTTTCGGTCTGCTCAATGGTGTCGCCGAACTTGCGCTTCTTGCCCATGAGAGCCTTTTCAGGCGCTTGGACCGCAGGTGTAGCGGCGCCACTACCACCTGTTGCTGCAGCCGGTCGTGGTGTAGATGCACCCGACGCTGGTCCTCCGCCACCGCCCGTCATCCACGAGTATTTCTTCTTCTTGCCACCAAGCGCCATGCTGGCAGTCTCGTTGGCTTTGCCAAATACGACGACGTCCGACTGACTCTGCTTCTTGGCGAATGCCAAAGCCTTCTTTGTCACAGGTTCCGGCATGGGTATTGGTGCAGCTGGCGCATCTGCTGAGGAGGCCGAGGCGCCTGCTTGACGCTTCGCGCGCTTGCGGAGGCGCTCCTGCTCCCACTTGTAGTCGTCATTGACGCGCTTCGTAAGTGCAATGGCAACGTGGTTAACGTTTTGGTATGTTCGCTGAGGGGTTGGGGGTGCTTCGCTTGGAGGCGTTGGGAGTCGTCCCGCATTGGGGACGCCTGAGTCGATTAGCAATAAACTGGAAAATATTCAAAACAAACATACCCTTGCTGGCTGTCGCTGTAGGGCTGACAGCACTGTCTGTTGCCTCCCACGGCGTCTTCAAGATGTTGACTGGCGGAGCCATCTTCTCTGATGCGCCCTCATCCACCATAGCAAGATCAAGCATCTGTGGGGGAATGATGCCATGAGATGTATTTTGACGACCTTGGCATAGAGCGAAAGAATCCTCAACTATGGTCCGGACACGCTCCTCGGCAGCCAGCGATATCAGCGTCAGTATCTCCACAAGTGGAGCGTTCTGATTCAGTAGACTGGCAGCTTCCAAGCCTACAATTTGTTCGCCGTTGGCACCGGCTGCAGTGGTACGTGCGATCTCTTGCTGACCCTTGTCCGGGATCTTGTCGAACAGGCCATCTACATTGATCTGGATACCGTGTTCATAGCCACGTTTCGCGATGCGATGTCTTAGGACACTTGCTGACAGGAACGGGTCATTCAGCGGCTGCTGGGCTGACTCGTTCAGGATCCTGGCGGCTTGCTCGTGCTTCCTGATGAACTCGGCTTCATGCTGCTCCTTGGTCATTTCTTGACTAAGTGCGCCGGTCCCTTGGAATGCGCCATGGCCCGACTGCTGGCTCCAGTTGTTGAAGCTAGCGTGTGGTGACGCTGTAGAACCCGACGCTTGCGAGTTGAAGCTCCTGTAGTTGTGCAGCAGGTTGTCCTCCTCGGCGCGCAGATCGATACCAGATCCTGTGAGCACATCGCTAATGTTATTGACGTCCAGGTCGCGCGCATTTGCCTTTTCTAATTCCGAACTATCGCCAGTCTTGCTATAAGGGACCTTGGGTGGCGGCATAGAGCCCTGGGGCGCTGGCGGCTGTCCATTCGGGTGCTGATACGGCTGGGGCTGGTGGAAGGGCGGAGGCTGCATCGCGGCGGGCGAGGTGGGCAGCGAGTGGTAGCCTGGCGTCTGAGGGGAAGCGGTGTACGGCGAGGGAGGATATTGGGGCGCGCCAGGCATGCCAAAAGGCGACTGGTACGGCGCAGGCGATGGCGGGTTTGGCGACAGGCGCTGTCGCTTATTCGGAGGAATGCCGCTGCCCATGGTCGGGGACAGGGCGGTCGGCGACTGCTGGTAATTCTGCGGTGAGAAAGCGCGCGGCTGCTGCTGGTGGCCCAGATTCTGCGTTTGCACGGGCGGCGGGGGTTGCTGGCCCGGCGGCGGATACTGGTAGTTGTTCGGGTAGGCCATGGTGGGCAGCTCGTCCCTTTCGGGGAGTCGCGTTGGCAGAGGGTTTCTATCGGCGCGTCATCCGGCGGCAGTATGTTCGGGGCTCGATAGCGCTTGCGATGGGACGTGTTCAGCGGGCAGGCGCGGTGAGTGGAGTTGGCAGGCGCGTCGGGGTTGGTGATGTCGCGGTTGACAGAGCGGACGATGAATCTGGGAATGACGAGCACGGACAAAGTCTTGGCAGTCGCGCGCCAGACAAAGAGAGCCGCAACGGTCAACCAACTGCCACTCCGCTCTCACTCGACGCTGCCACGACTTCTCTCTCACCCTTGGGATTCTCCATTGAGGCGTTGAATATCCCTGCGACACCAATTCACGATTAATGAGCTAGGGCCAGGCGCGGTTTATAGATATCTTACGCGTTCTTCTTCGGCTACCACCTGGGCATCCAACCCCGTAGCCTCACCTCCGTCGCCCGTATACCACCTAGTAACACATCCACATCTCAACCCACACAACAATGGCGTCGAAGAGAAAGGCGACGGCGATGGCGCCCGAGGATGAAGACCCAATAGATCCCTCCGACGAGCTCATGTTCCTCTGCTTAGGAGGCGGTAACGAGGTCGGCCGCTCGTGTCACATCATCCAGTACAAGGGCAAGACCGTCATGGTGCGCATCCAGGACTCGCATATCTATGGCAGCCATACTAACGAGGGACAGCTTGATGCCGGTATGCATCCCGCACACGAAGGCTTGTCAGCCATGCCCTTTTACGATGATTTCGATCTTAGCACCGTAGACGTGCTACTAATTTCACAGTATGTATACGCGCGTCTTGCTTGCCATGGTAGTTGGGGTTCGGCGCATCACTGGAGTCGGACCATGAGCGCGCAAAGGGCACTCGCAATACAGCGACTTGTATATCACTATGAATGGAATATAATTTGCTTCCTCCCGCTCGACTTCGATGATGTGCCCCTCCCTGGTTCCCATCAATGTATCTACAACTTTGGGCGCTTCTTCCGGGCTCACCCTGAGTCCTCCAGTCGTCCTCCAGCATGCTGACATCAGGCTAGTTTCCACGTCGACCATGCTGCCTCTCTACCCTATGTACTTGCAAAGACCAACTTCAAGGGCCGGGTATTCATGACACATCCGACCAAGGCCATCTACAAATGGCTTATCCAGGATTCTGTTCGTGTCGGCAACATGTCGAGCAATTCCGAGACCAAGATCCAAATGTACACCGAGGCGGACCATCTCAACACCTATCCTATGATTGAGTCAATCGACTTTTACACCACCCACACCGTATCCGGTGTACGGATAACACCATACCCAGCTGGTCACGTACTTGGAGCGGCCATGTTCCTTATGGAGATTGCAGGCCTAAAGATACTCTTCACCGGCGACTACTCACGAGAAGACGACCGACATTTGGTATCAGCTTCAGTACCTCCAGGCGTAAAGATCGATGTCCTCATCACCGAGTCAACATTCGGTATCTCGATGCATACGCCGCGTGTCGAGCGAGAGGCACAGCTCATGAAGGCTATCACCGACGTTCTCAACCGCGGAGGTCGTGCTCTACTTCCAGTCTTCGCCCTGGGTAGAGCCCAGGAACTTCTTCTCATTCTCGACGAATATTGGAGCAAGCATCCAGAAGTTCAGAAGATACCCATATACTACAACTCTAGCTTAGCTCGTAAGTGTATGCAGGTCTACCAAACGTACGTCTCGGCCATGAACGACAACATCAAACGTCTCTTCGCCGAGCGCATGGCCGAAGCCGAAGCCGCGGGAGACACTGGTCGACGTGGAGCTTGGGATTTCAAGTTTGTCCGTTCGCTCAAGAGTCTGGAGCGTTTCGACGATCTAGGTGGGTGCGTCATGCTCGCCTCGCCGGGTATGATGCAGTCTGGCACATCGCGCGAGCTGCTTGAGCGATGGGCGCCCGACCCAAGAAATGGTGTCATCATCACCGGTTACTCTGTCGAGGGTACCATGGCAAAACAGATCGTTCACGAACCGGACCAGATCCCAGCAATAATGTCTCGCGCTAGTAACGCAGCA